AGATCCCATGCTCAGACGTGCTGGTGTGCAGTTTGGGTGTTTTTTTGTTGAGTTTTAGATGTTCAGCTTATTATTGTTTCAAGGGGAGAGATCTAGGAACTTCTCTCCGCTGTTTCTGACGTCACCTCCTACTGCCTTTTAAGACAATGTCCGTGGCTTGTAGTGCCTTGTGGGTTTCCTCATTGCTCCATAGTTTGGGTTGTGTTTGCCGTCACTTGTGTAGCTGACATTAACTGAGCCCCTACACTGCTGCAGTACTGTTCTAAGTGTATTACTTCATTTCAAGGTATGCCTGACTCCTCTCTTTCCTCTCACACCCACATCCAGTCTAACAGGTGATCCTTGGCTCTATTTTCAAAATACAAACAGTTCCTTCCAAAACAAAAAATAAACTTACCAAAGGCCCAGTAATTGCATTTATCCCAGAGAAATAAAGACTTATTTTTCACGGAGGAACTTGTCCACAAACGTTCACAGCAGCTTTATTTGTAATAGCACAAACCTGAAAACTACTCAGATGTCCTTTCATGAGTGAATGGTTAAATGAACTGTGGTACATTCATACCATAGAATACTACTCATGAAAAAAGATTAACCATTGAAAAAAAAATTAACCATTAATACGAGCAATAGCTTGGATGACTCTCCAGGAAGTTATGCTAAATGAAAAAGCCAGCTTCAAAAAGAAACAACCTGCATGATTCCATTTATGGAGACAGAGTACAGATTACTGGCTATCAGAGGTTAAGAATGGGAAGGGAGGGGTGTGACTATAAAAGGATGACACAAGGGATCTCATGGTGATGATATACAACATCTTGATTGTTGTGGTTACTCTAGGTTCCACATAGGACAAGATTGCATAGAGCCACACACACACAAAGTGTACACATAACTGGTGAAATCTGAATGAACTTTGTGGAGTGTGCCGATGTGAGTTTCTTGGTTTTGATACTGTGCTATGGTTATATGAGATGTCGAAGGGGTGTGGTTGAAGAAGGGGTATATGGGACTTCTCTCTGCATATCTTTGCAACTGCCTGTGAATCTATAATTTCGAACTTTAAAAAAAAAATTAAAATACATATAACTAGAATCCAACCCCTTCTCATAGCCTGTCCTGCTACAGTCCTGATCCAAGCTACTCTCATCTCTTGCCTAGATTTTTCCAATGGCCTCTTAATGGGTCTACATGATTTTATGTACAGTCTATTCTCAACAGAGCGGCATTTAGGCAGTTCCCATCATTTGTGGAAATAAATGAAGACAAGCCAAATGAGAAAAGCAAAGGCTATGTATTCAGAGATGATTCTAGCAAGGGAGAGAGTCCTGTCACTGTGTTGGCAGAGACTCAGAGGAGGCAGAGTGGGAAAGCTTTATAGAAGAAAAAAGGAAGGCTGGTGGCCTGGGGAAGCTGTCAGTGGGCTCACCAGAAGTGGGGCATCCTATGTGATTGGTTAAGGTTCATATTTGGCTTTCTCTGTCTAGTCCTAAGTTGGAAACAGGGACAAAAATTAGGGAAGCTGTCAGTTATGAATCAAGTCCTGACTATTTGGGCTGATTGTTGTTTAGCTTCCTGGATTGTCACCAGAGATAGCAGTCTGGCTTCTTGCAAGTCTGACTTCCAGCAGGCCAACTTCCTGGGCTGGTTATTGTATGAGAGGCTAGTTTTCTGAGCAGGTGGCTACAGGTCATGGGTCAGAGCTCTATTTTTATATGTGGTCTGGCCATTATCCATTTGTATACTGTCTTTCACATTCCTCTGCTAGGACTCTCCAGCAGCGTCCCATCACACAGAAATCCCTGCAGTGGCCTAGAAGGCCCTGCACGAACTGGCCCCTTCTTCAACTCTAGCCTCATCTCCTTCCACTTGCCCCTGCTCTCCACTCTAGCCACATTGGCTTCTTTGCTGTTCTAGAATATGCCAGGCTCTCTCCCAAGGCACTAATGGCCTAACACACTGCACGACTTTATTTTTAATGTTTAAGTCAAACTCTCCCAACTAGAATGTAAATTCCACCTTGTTCATTACTATCCCAGCACCTAGAACATTGCCTTGCACAGAGAAAGTGCCTAATACACTTTTTTAAATGAATGAATAGATGAATATGTGAGTATGTGTGTGCAGATATATTTAATAATATCTACTACTTTTTATTGGGTGCTTAGAGTTTACTGGGCACTGTGCTTTCTTCTATTATCCATTTTTTATTCTTTATAGCTCTCCTATAGGGTAGGTATAGTCAGAGCCACTCATTTTTCAGGTAAGGTAGCCAGTCCTGAAGGCTACAGTGCCCAGCTTCTCAGGGACCTAAATAAATGTTTAAAACCTGAGAAAACTCTGGCTCCAAAATGCAGAAACTTTGGAATAACCCAAATTAACTAATGTTTAATCAAATATTTAAAAAAATATCATCAGTTGTTAACGTATGTCATTAATTCTGTGCCAACTTCTTTAATCATTAAATGTAGTGTTCATGAGAATTTCATTATATCTGGGAATAACTTTTAGATTAGATTTTTTTTTAACTCTGTACTTCAAGAATGCAAATGAATGCCAAAGGAGTTGAGAATGTGCAGATAATTATACTATAAATGACTTACTCTTAGCCAAATAATTTCCAAAGCAAACTTATGAAAATCACTTCATATTATTTTACAGTAATATGTTCTATTTAAAGTAGCAATTCTGCATATTTTTATAATTGATTTGGGGAGGAACCTCCAAAAGTAATAGTACCACATCCTAGGAAAATCTTAAAATAGCCTTTGATATAGTTAGCCCCACTTAACAGATTTAACTCCATGATCTGTAGTTTGAGTCACATTAGTCAACTTTCCTCAATTTCTCTTGACCAAACCCTCCCACCATCCTACCCCCGACTTCTCTCCCTAACCTTCATCGCTGCCAAGCTCACTCTGGGCCTAGGTACACACAGTGATGTGTATGTGTGAATGTACATGGGAATGGACAGACCAGGTAACATTTCTCAGGCCTGGGCCTCAGGCTCCTTTCCTCCCTTCACTTTTTCTCCATTGCCCTCTGAGATCCTTCCGAGTCTTTGAAAGCTACACCTGGAACGAGAAAACCAGCTATTCCTCAAATAGCCACAAGATGGTGCCACAAGCTCATAACCAGGCTTCTGTGGGTTCCCTTCAGGGAAACCGGAGACTCAGACCAGAAAGCCAAAGCATCCAGAGAGGCCTCTGGCTACTCTCCCCAGGATGACTCCAGCCCCTCACCAGTGACCCATGTGGCTCTGTTTGCACCACTGTGGCAGACCCAGTGGGGTTTGGCTCCTAATTCCTCTCTGTCCTTGCTTCCCTGTTGTTTTGCTCCTCCTTGTTCACCTTCCCATCTCCCTTTTCCTGTCTCTATTTTTGTGTCTGTTATCCTATCACCATCTCTCTCCTCGCATCTGTCTCTCTCTACCTCCATCTTCCTCAACAAATCTAATACACCATCTTATTCAACAAGTTTTAATAACATGTTGCTAGTCTTATTTTATGGCACATACTATGCTAGGCTCTGGAAAGTCAATGAAAGCAAGTTGGACTCTCAGTCCAGGGGAGTTAGCTCCCAGCTGAGGGGTGTGGTGGGCGAGGTTCTTTGTCCTCTGCCTCCTCCCTGTCCCCTTCCCTCCTCTCTTTAGTGATTGTCAGCAAATCTGGGGCAGTGGGGGTAGAGACTTTGTCCCCTTCCCCCCAACCCTGTACAGTGGAGTCAGGCTAGGCAGAGCAACAAAAACCCCAAGATCTCAAGACCTAATCTGGGGCAGTGGGGGTAGAGACTTTGTCCCCTTGCCCCCCAACCCTGTACAGTGGAGTCAGGATAGGCAGAGCAACAAAAATCCCAAGATCTCAAGACCCTCTTTATTCTAAGCCAATTCCACTGCTATATGATCTCCATTAATGCAGAGCCCAGCTCCACCCTAAATCCCTTTTTAAGGGTTGTCTTTGGGTCTGCTGGGCCTCGGTCTTCCCATTTGTGAAACAAGCTGGGTGAATTAATTCTTTGCTCCCTTCCATTCAGGACCCGTAGGTTCTCTAGGACGACTCCCAACCCTGCCTTGGCCTTGCAGGTGCATCTCGCACTCCCAGCTTCTCCTCACCAGTATTGAGGGTGTTGGCCTTCGGTCATCACTTAAAGACTCAGTTGTCCTGGCTGGTGAGCTGAAATCCACTGGCTTAGGATGGGAATCAAGGACCATTCACAAAAAACAGCCAGAAATGTTCTCCCAGCCTCCGACACACAAACAAATCTCGCCAAGGACTCACCTCCTCATCACTTTGGTTCATGGTGTTTGGTTTAGAGGCCTCACCAAGGGGCTAACCCAAAGACGCCTGTGCGAGTGATGCGATGACTAAGATTTTACCACCAGTATTTCTTTCCTTTGACTTTGTTACAGTTAATCAACATCCCAGAGCCAAACCCCCATGTTGTAGGCTGGACATCAGGGTGGGTGCATACTACCCCATCCTTATACTCTCCCTTCTTTCTCCAGGGTGGGCTCACTTTTTGTGCACAGCTAATGCCTCCATCAGGGTTCAAGATCTTACCTTTTCTTCCTATAGAAATTTCCTCTTTTACACTCTCTCTCATTTAAATTCCAAACGGGTTAAAAATTTACATGTAAAAAAATGAAATTAAAGACTAAGGGGAATTCTTTTATGGTCTCAGAATGAAGGCTTTTTACTTATGAATCAAAATCTAAAAGCCTTAAAATAAAATACTTGTCAATTCAAATACACTGTTCGAATTTCACAGAAAAATATCAAAGTCAAACTACAAATAAGAAATTGAGTTTTAAAAAAAGAAATTTACAACTCATATCAATAACACCTTCTCTCTGATGTATTTAAAGTGCTCCCAGATGTCAAAAATATAAATAGAAACAACCAGACCCAGAAAAATGGACAAAGTCAATTAAATGACAGTTCACAGAAAAGGAAACACAGTGGTTCTTAAACATACAACAAAATGTTCAACTTTACTCCGAATAAGAGAAAGCACAATAAAAAGGCTTCAACATAATTTAATGGAGAAGATATCTTTTCAACAAAAAGTGCTAGAACAATTGGATTACCATGTGGGGAGCGGTGGGGGAGAAGAACCTCAACGTTTTACCTCACACCATAAGTAAAAATGAATCACAAACCTAAAACTAATAGCTGAATCTAAACTTTTAGAAGAAAACACAGGAGAAAATATTCAAGATCTTGAAATGAGCGAAGACTTCCAAGATATAGGACACAAAATTTCTAACCATTAAAAAATTATAGGTTGAACTTCATCAAAATTAAAAACTGTTGCTTGTCAAGTTAAAGCATCAAGTTAGAAAGGCAAACTTGGAGAAAATAGTCCAAATATACATACCTGCTAAAAGATTTGAGTCCAGAGTATACTAAGAACTCTTAATGACATCAATAAGATAACCTATTTTTTAAATGGAAAAAAAATATCTGAACAGACACTTCACAAGTGCGTGCATAGACAGAGGCTCAACAGCACTGGTCACACAATATCCAGGCTTCGGTTTTAGAGACCTTGGTTGATTTCAGTAACTGACCATTTAGGCTACTTCCCACCCCCACCCCCGCGTCCCCGCCCTCATTCCCTGGTTTAGTTCCAACTCTATTTTAAATTCACCAATAAAGATTGAGCCTGTGGAACCGTAGGTCGCCACCCTGGATCCCAATAAAAGCAGCATCCCTGGCCTGTGCGCATGCTCTTGCTCTGTACCCACCTGACCTCAATGTGTGGCCCGAGGTGTGTTGTTTAATTGCCAAACCTGTGAGTAATAAACCGGTATTTTTTCAGTTTCCTGATGGTTATTGCTGAAGGGCAGCTCGTAAGAACTAGTAAGATCTCAGACAAGGACTAGTCTGAGCACAACACTGGTTATTGATAGGCTGAGACCAGGACAAAACACAGAATATTACTAACAATAAAAACTACAGACACTAGACACAAGAGTACATGCTGTATGGTATAATTTATATATAGTTCTAGACAAGTAAAATTTAATCAATAGTTTCAGAGAATTCATCACTGGTGTCCTGAGCCTCAGGAGAGGGAGCGACAAGGATTGACTGAGAAGAGACACAGGGAACTTTGTGAGTTGATGGAAACATTCTATATCTTGATTGTGCTGGCTGGTGGTTATACAAGTGTTCACATTTGTCAAAGCACATCAAGCACTACATTTAAAATGGATGCATTTTATTGTATTATACTTTTTTAAAAAGTAAATGCTGGAGGAAGATAGAAAAAAAAAACCATAATTTTGCTGGGACTGAAAATCCAAGTCTTAAAAATAAACAATTGAACAATTTTAAGAAACTAGAGATGCAATTTTTCACTTAACACGACTCAAAAAATCTAAACTTTTAATAATGCACTGTGTTGGCATGGCTATGAGGAAAAACACACTCTCAATCACTGATGTTGGGAATATAAAATGGGCATGTGGGCAATATATACTAAATTACAAATGCCCTGAACTAGCAACTTCCCTTCTAGGATTTTATTCTGCGTATAAACTCAATCATAGTTGAAATAGCATATGTTAAAGATTATTACAACATTGTTTGAAATAGCAAAACTCAAAAAATAATCTAAATGTCCGTCAATGCAAAACAGGTTAAATAAATTATGATACACCCATACAGTAGAATCCTATTTAACTACAAAACCAAATGGGGAAAGTGAGTGTGTGTGTGTGTGTGTGTGTGTGTGTGTGTGTGTGTGTGTGTGTGTGTGTCCTAGCTAATATGAAAAAAGCCTCAAGGGGTAATGTTAAGTGAACAAAGCAACACTATGCTTGCTAGGTTGCAATTTGTGTAATAAAAACCCAGAAGATACATATTTGGATTTCCTTGTATATATGTTAAAAAAAAATAAAAAAAAAAACTCCTGGAAGAATAACCAAGAAAGTAATACCAGGGGATACTTTAGAAGAATTTGTAGGAAATTCATGGAGTCAGTTGTATGAGGGATAATACTTAGTATACCTTTTCAATTTTTCAAAATTTTTGAACCAGTGACTGTAGTAGCTATTCAAAATTTAAATATTTAAAAAGTAACATCAACATAATACATTATATATTATGTATTATATATTATATATATCAACATAGCATAACTTTTTAACACATAGGCAGTGTCTAGTACAGCACAGGGACATACTTGGTACACAGTTAACATTTACTATTTTTATCCCCCCTCATACTTTAGGTTCTAGTTCCCCAAATCAGAGGGGCCCAGCTGCCTCTTCTGTGTCCTCACAGGGGGTTTCCCTTCTGCCCAATGTTCCCCATTTCTTCTTGCCCACAGAGCTGCAAGGCTCAGGTATCACCTACTCAAGAAGCCTTTGATTGACACCTTCCTTCTTCCTCCCCAAACCCTGTTTGGTGCCCCTCCTCCTCTTGTGGAGACTGCAAGGTCTGCTCAATCCCCTGAAGCATAGAGGCTCCTGAGCCTGTGGGCTCTCTTTCCTAGAGTGCTGACCTTGCCAAGGAGTGGCGAATATCCCCAGAACCAGGTATTACTGGTGGGCGGCAGGTCTGATTTCAACCACCTACATCCACAAGTTTCAGTTTCCCCTAAATGTTATGTTGATCCTCTCACGCCCACAGAGAGTCTGTAAGTTTCGGTTTCCCCTAAGCTTTCAGAGGAAGATGTCCATTAACCCTTGGTGTGCTGTGTGCAGTAGTGATGGAGGAAACAGAAATGACTCACTCATACAGGAAGCTCATGGAGGGCAAGCACTTGTACAAAGAATAGTGACACAGGCAGTGGGGAAGAGGCATGATGACAGCCCCAGAGTGGAGAGGGAGCCCAGGTGACAGCAAAGAAGATCATGTCCCACTAGGCCTACGGGCAGCAAGACAGGAATGGGAAGGCAGGCTTTTGGGCAGACAGCCCTGGCTGGGTGGCTTCCAGGTGGGCAGAGAGGGGCAACAGGCAGGGGCTTGGGCCCTCTGGGGAGGGGCCCTGGAGCTGTAACCTGAACCCAATGGGTGTGTGGTCTCTGCTGGGAGTACAAGAGGAGGCACAAGGCACTGGCAGGAATGAAAGGGTGAAGTGGACAGCGCCTGATGCCAAGGAAGCTGGAGAGGGCCCTGAGGGAGAGGGTCCTCAAAGGGAGAACTTGGATTTCTGTGGAGTTTCACAAACTTCAAGAAGTGATTTGTTTTTCTTCTTCTTCTTTTTTTTTTTTTTTTTTTTTGATTCATTTCTGAGGAATGGAGAAAAGCCCCTCCTCTGAGGTCTCTGGGGTTTGGGCTGGAGCATTGGAGCAGAAAGCCAGGCCAGGCTCCCAGAGCTGGGCCAGGCCAAACCTCCATGTCCACTTCCTGCCCTTCTACTAGTGGAGAAAGTGACCCACAGTGCAACAGAAGCAGCTGAGAGCAGCCCTATCTCCTAACCTAAATGTGGTGACTTTACCGTGCCCCACATTAGGTCGTTTCCTGGACCAGCTCTAACACACCCATATGCACCCTTTCATGGCAAACTTCCTTTTCAACTATAAAGAACATGAGTGCCCACTCTTGTCCCGGGGCTGTGACACCTTCCGCAGGAAGGGGAGCTGTGGGTGATTCAAGAGCATCATGAGGGCCTGTGTCAGCCTTCAAGGCCCTGGTCCCTGGCTGGCCAGGAATAAGGGCATAGCCTGGGGAACCAACTACCTCCATTCTCCCCACTGCTCTCCAATACACTGTAAACACTACATTTGAGTTTTCAAACCTCTGTTAAGAAGCACAGGAAGGGCAAGGCTCCCTTTCGAGCTACCCTAGGCCCTGGACTGGCCCCTCAAGCATGCAAGACAGAGCCGGTAAACAAGCCAAGAGGTCTTTAGGGCCAAGGGAAGAGCAGGCACCCCTCTTTCCAATCCCCAACCCACTGGCCTGGACCCAGGCTGCAATTAGTAAGGCGGGCCCAGCCGGATCCCCAAATCCTTCCCAATGCGGTGACCTCTTCTTGGTGGCCATCTCCCACTGCCAATCTCTCTGATCCCCCCAACTCTAGAGCCGGGAACCTGAGCCACGTGCTTTACTCCCTCACACTGGGACCAAACCAACTGCCGTTGGGCTTTCTGTGGGCCATGTCTCTCTAGTCAGGTAGCCAGCAGAGCAGAGAGACCTGGCCCTCCTGTCATCATGCTGTGTGCCCACTTCAGGGCTGGACAATCGGCAAGGATTGGGATGGGCAAAGGGTTGTCCAGAGAACCACTGTAGGTCAGAAGGGCAGGGTAGCCCGACTCAGCCTCTCCTAGCCTCTGGTGTTTCCCAGCCTCCATCTAAGGTGCAGTGCCAATGCATCCTCCAGCAAGACGCCCCCTGGCTTGGTGCCAGGTTAGGACTGGGCTATAGTCAGTCAACCAAGGCTGCTACTTCAGGGCCCTGAGGACAGCCTCCAGCTTCATGGCCACAGATAAGTCGCCCTTCACCTTCAGCCGTCCACTCATGTAGGCCCCCAAGGGCCACAGCTCCCTGCACAGCAGGGCCCGAAGGTCTGCCTCGGCCATCTCCGCCACCACGTCAGGGATGCCATCGGGCACCCCACATCCCACCCTCCCTTGCCCTGTGGGGAGAAAAAAACTAAGCATTAGTAGGGGAAAAGCTATGCGACAGCTATGCAACAGGGAAAAAGGGGCTAGCACATCCCACTGGGAGGAGTGGAGAGTAGTGGTTAAGTGTTCAGGTCCCAATATCCTGGGTTCAATTCCTATTGACTATATGACCACTCAGAGCCTTAGTTTCCAGACTGGTGAAATGGGGATAACCTCTAAGTCATAGGCTCATGGTGAGAAGTAAGTGAGAGAATGCATGAAAAGTGCTCAGCACAGAGCCTGGCACTCAGTAGGCCTGCAACATGTGCAGGGTTCTTGGTACAGGAAACTCTGCTTTCTGAGTTGTCCTGCTGATGAGTACAGGGTGGGGACACAATGGACTGGATAACCATTGTCTGCAAATGGTATATGGGTCCCCCGACTGCTATGGGTTCACCCGAAATTGTTGGCAGGAGCAGGGGCAGTCTAAAACAGGACTGGGGAAAGGGCTGCTACAAGCAACCTTGGTGGGAAGGAGAGGACAGGGAGGGCAATTGCACCTGAAGTGAGATCCAGGAAGTAGGTGCTCTGGGTGCCACTGGGCAGGATGACATTGAACTGGTAGCAGGCCCCAACTTGGTTGACCAGGGCCTCAGACAGGTAGGGCTGTAGAGCAGTGAGCAGCCCCTCGGCCGCAGGCTGCTTCGAACTGGGCCCAACACCGTGATGGGCAGGCAGCTCAACTTCATTCACCATCTCCAAGGTATCTGTTGAGGGGTGGCCCACAGGGTTGGGGAAGGAGGCAGAGAGGAGAGGTCAATATGCTGCCAATGTCAGGATCACTGTGGCCTCTGTACCTTTGTGGCAGTTCCCTCTTACATCCCCTTCAGGTCTGTGTTCAACCCCCTTCTCCGCTAAGAAGTCACCCTTGAGTATTCAACCTTAAGTCTCACACCCCATTTCTAAGGTACTCCAGCCTTGGAATTAAAACTCTTTTCCAGATGCTGTTGCTTTCTCCCATGAAGACTCCTAAAGGCCTCCACACACTCACAAATACCTGGACTCTTCCTACTGCCTTAGCCCTCGTCAGCTCTAGAATTGGGGTAGCCTGAATGGATGAACAGGGTATGGACTGCACAAAGGTGCTTAGTTAAGGGAGCAAGTACAAAGCTCAGCCTGTGCTGGACACTAAGCTGAGTGCCTTACTGAGCCTCTTACCCTTTTCTGGAGTCTCCTTATCTGGCCCTGGGTGCAGGGTACCCCCTGCCACTGAGGACATGCCCCCCCGCAAGAAGTAGAGAGCCAGCTGCTGAAGGGGGCTGTCCAGGCCAGGTCCAGCGGGGCTGTCTTGGGGCGGCTGCAGCACGGCCTCCACAGCCAGCTCCATGCGGTCCACCTCCAGCCCCCAGGCCCTGGTCACATCGTTGATCTCCAGCTGGAGGACAAGGTGGGAAGAAATGGAATTTATTCGACACATCTTTCCGGAGATCCTTCTTTGGGCAGGCAGGTATAGCCACACGTGGACATGGAGGTACATGAGGCACCACATCTGCCCTCGAGCGGTTTCCGACTGGGAACACAGACATGGGCAATTACAACCCAGCTGTGAGGCCAGGCAGGGCATGGGGCAGTGAGGGGGTGACGTCAGGAGGAGAAGTTATCCAGGTAAAGGGGCATCAAGGGAAGGAGGACCTTTCTAGACAATGCGAATACCATGTACACAAACCCAGACAAGAGAACCTGGAATGTTCTTGAACTGCGAGTAACCAGAGTTCCCTTTGGCTCAAGTGTGGGCTGAGGGATTAGAAATAGCTGAGGGGTCAGAGACAGCTGCTCCTGTTCACTTGGATTTATTCTGAGGTACAAGGAGCCCCAGAGAGGAGTTTAGCAGGGAGTGACAAAGCGACTTGCTTGTTGGAAGGATTCTCTTGGCTGCCACATGGACACTGAATTGGAGGCGGCTCGGGGTGGAGGAATGGAGACCAAATAGGATGTTGTTTCAAATCGCAGGCAGAAACAATATGGATCTGGTGTCAAGCTGTGAAGCCAAAATACACCAAGGAAGGAGCACAACTCTGCAAACTATATGAAGCTTCAGCAAGACACTAGAGAAAGAGAACCACCAGAGTGGTCATTTGCCCGGATGTGCGGTAACAGGGAGGGTGGTGAGAAGAAATCAGAGAAGACAGGTTACTGGATGTGGGTTCCCACATGGATCATGAGTGTGGACGTTTATCTAGGAGGACACACAGAGGGAGATACAGATTTGGGGGTGAGGACAAGAGGGATGGTAACTTTTTTAATACATTAAGCTTGAGGTGTGTATGGCACAGTCAACTGTCTAACAGGCAGTTGAATAACTGAGTACAGGGTGCAGGAGAAAATGGGGCAGAGCACAGTGTTGTAAACAGTGTCAAGAGGTAGCAAAAAGCCCTGGGTAGATGAGCTCTCCCCATGTCATAGGTAAAAAGAGACCACTGAGGGAAACCTGGAAACTGAAGGGCAGGAGAACAAGGAGTAACAGGAGTGACCAAGATGGAAGGATCGATGCAGGGGTGTAGAGAAATAAAAGCCCAGGGAAGCAGATGATTGATCAATCGATCAGGAGTAAGAGAAGGATGGGTCCACAGAGTCACAGGTTGCCACCAGATGAAGTAGAGGAAGGACTGAGAGGTGTCCTCTGTGTTAGCAAAAGGGAGGTCACCATGATGTCTATGTTATGAGCCTAAGGGAAGCCTAGACTAACGACAGGAGGGGAAGAAGGAAAAGGAAGAGAGGCAGAAAGGCAAAAAGAAGAGAGGATGAAGGCAGGGAGGGAGCCGGGCCCAAAGCACTGCTGGTGCAGGGATGAGCCTCAGACAGAAGTGGATGCTTCCAAAGAGGCAAGAAAAGTAGCACAGATGTTAATGAGTTTGAAGAGGTGACAATGGAGGAAGTTGAAAGAGTTCTTGTTCTAGTGTTTCTTCTCTTGAGTAGGACTGTAAAGCCTGCTACAAAGAGTGATGGTGGGGGCGGGGAGTGTGTGTGGAGAGGCTAGACCAGGGCAGTGAAGAGTGAAGTAGCTGGCCTAGAGCAGGTAAGGAGGGCCTGGCAAGTGAGAGGTGGGAATGTACAATCCCTCCAGATGAAATGTATGCAAAAAAGGGAGAATGAGAAATCTATGCCTGAACTGGGGCTTAAGGGAGGTATACTGGCTTTCCTGAGATTTCATTTTAACCACAGGCACTGACCTGACTGTACCAGGGGCCAGTTCAGTCTGGGCAATGAACCCTAACTGACTCTGACAACCTGGTGTGAGACTGACTCCCCGCCAACTGCCTCTCTTGGCTTTGTGTACCAAAGCCAAGTGCAAAAGGCTGAGGTTAATTTTCTCTTCCTAAAAGTAAATTAAAATAGAATGTGATTCCATGAATAAACTTGTTATCACTTATTATCTGAGTTTTATAAGATTGAGTACTGGCAATGAACTTAGAAAAAGACTAAATGAACTCAGTCAGAACTTACACAAAGAAATAGAAATCATAAAAAAGAAGCAATCAGAAATTAAGAATACATTAGATGGAATCAACAGTAGATTAGATGAAGCAAATGATCAAACCAGTAATCTGGAAGTCAAGGTAATGGAAAACACCCAACTGGAACAGCAAAAAGAATTTTTTTAAAATGAGGATAATTTAGGGACCTCTGGGACATCAAGTGTACCAACATTTGCATCATAGTACAGAAGAAGAAGACAGAGAGCAAGGGATTGAAAACCTACTTGAAGAAATAATGACTGAAAACTTTCTTAACCTACTGAAGGAGCAGACATGAGTCCAAGAAGTACAGAGAGTCCCAAACAAGATGAACCCAAAGAGGACCACACCAAGACACATCATAATTAAAATTCCAAAGGTTAAAGACAAAGAGAGACTCTTAAAAGCAAGAAAAGAAATGCAGTTTGTTACATACAAGGGAGCTCCCATAAGACTGTCAGCTGATTTCTCAACAAAACCTTTGCAGGCCAGAAGGGACTGGCACCAAATATTCAAAGTGATGAAAAGCAAGGACCTACTCCACCCAGTAAAGTTAGAATAAAAGGCTTCCCAAACAAGAAAAAGCCAAAGGAGTTCATTACCATCAAATCAGTATTACAAGACATGTTAAAGAGACTTCTTTAAAAAGAAGAAAAAGAAATCAAAAATACAAATAATAAAATGGCAAAACTACAAACCTATCAATAATTACTTTATATTTAAATGGATTAAATGTTCCAATCAAAAGACATAGGGTAGCTGAATGTATAAAGAAACAAGACCCATACATATGCTGCCTACAAGAGACCTATTTCAGATTGAAAGACACACAAAAACTGAAAGTAAATGGATGGAAAATATATTTTATGCAAATGAAAATTTAAAAAAGGCTGAGGTAGCAATATATATCAGACAAAATAGACTTCAGAACAAGGCTCTATTAAGAGACAAAGAAGGACATTACATAATGATAAAGGGATCAATCCAACAAAAGGATATATCCTCATAAACATTTATGCACACAATATAGGAGAACTAAATATATAAAGCAAATATTGACAAATGTAAAGGGAGAGATGGACAATAATAGTAGGGGACCGTAACAACCTATTGACATCGATAAACAATCGGACAGAAAATCAACAAGGAATCAGCAGCCTTAGATAATACATTAGACCAGATGGACTTAATAAATATTTTTAGAACATTTCATTCCCAAACACCAGACTATACATTCTTTTCAAGGTCACGTGAAACATTTTCCAAGACAGACCACATGTTAGGCCACAAAACAAGTTTCAATAAATTTAAGACTACAATCAGATCAACAATCTTCTGCAATTACCATGGTATGAAATGAGAAATCATTACAAGAAAAAAACTGAAAAACACACAAATATATGAAAGTTAACTAACATGCTACTCTACAATGAATAGGTTAACAACAAGATCAAGGAAGAAATCAAGAGAAACCTTGAGGCAAATGAAAATGAAAACACAATGGCCCAAAAATCTATGGGACACAGCCAAAGCAGTTCTAAGAGGAAAATTCAGAGCAAGACAGGCCTACCTCAAAAAATAAGAAAAATCTCAGTTAAGCAATCTAACCTTACAAAAAAAAAAAAAAAAAAGAATAAACAAAGCCCAAAGTGAGTAGAAGAAAGGAAATAATAAAGATCAGAGCAAAAATAAATAAAAAAGAGTCTAAAAAATATTATAAAAAATCAATGAAACCAAAGCTAGTTCTTTGAAAAGATCAACAAAATTGATAAAGCTTTAACCAGGCTCATCAAGAAAAAAAGAGAGGACCCAAATAAATAAAATCAGAAATGAAAGAGAAGTGACAACTTCTAAGTAAATACTACGAACAATTATATGCCAACAAAATGGACAATCTGGAAGAACTGAATAAATTCCTAGAAACATACAATCTCCCAAGGCTGAATCAGGAAGAAACAGAAAATCATAACAGACCACTACTAATGAAATTGAATCAGTAATCAAAAAATTCCCAACAAACAAAAGTCCTGGACTAAATGGCTTCACAGATAAATTTTCCAAACACTGAAAGAAGAATTAATGCCTATCCTCAAACTATTCCAAAAAATTCAAGAGACAGGGAAACTCTCAAACTCATTTTATGAGGCCAGCATTACCATGATACCAAAACCAGAAAAAGACACTAGAAAACAAACAAACAAACAAAAACACTATAAGCCAATATCTCTGATAAACTTAGATGCAAAAGTCCTCAACAAAATATTAGCAAATCGAATTTAGCAATACATTAAAAAATCACACACTGTGATCGAATGGGATTTATTCTTGAGATGCAAGGCTGGTACAATAGCTGCAAATCAATAAACAAAATGAAGGATAAAAATCATTATTTATATCATTAGATGCAGAAAAAGCATTTGACAACATCCATTACAAAATCCAAGCATTTGACAACACCCAAAAGCAAAATCCAACACCCATTTATGATAAAAACACTCAGCAAAGTGAGGATAGAACAAACATATCTCAACACAATAAAGGTCATATATGACAAACCCACAGCTAACATCATACCTAACTGTGAAAAGCTGAAAGCTTTTTCTTTAAGATCAGGAACAAGATAAGGATGTTCACTGTCACCACTTTAACCAACATAGTACTGAAAATCAACACAGTAAATCAGAAAAGAAAAAGAAATAAAAGGTATCTAAATTGGAAAAAAGTAAAACTGTCATTATTTGCAAATGACATAATTCTATATACAGAGAACATTGAAGATTCCACCAAAAAAACTACTAGAATGGAAAAATGGAAAAAAGTTGCAGAATACAAAATTAATATCTAGAAATAGGTTGTATTTTTATACACAGAGAACTTCAGAAAGATAAATTAAGAAAAAAAATCCCATTTATAACTGCATCAAAAAAATATCCAGGAAAAATTTAACCAAGGAGGTAAAAGACTTGTACTCATAAAATTATAAGGCAATGAAGAAAGAAATTAAAGATACAAATAAATGGAAGCATATATCGTACCCATGGAAAAAGAGAATTAACATCATTAAAATGTTCATACTACCCAAAGCAATCTATAGATTCAATGCAATCCCTATCAAAATACCAATGGCATTTTTCACAGAACTAAGATAATTCTAAAATTTGTATGAAACCACAAAAGACCCTAAATAGCCAAAGTAATCTTGAGAAAGAATAACAAAGATGGAGGTATCACGTCACCTTAAGTCAATCTATACTATGAAGCATGGTACTGGCATAAAAACAGACACATAGTGGAACAAAATAGAGAGCCCAGAAATAAACCCATTTCTATATGGCCAATTAATCTATGACAAAGAAGGCAAGAATATTTAATTGGGTAAAGACAGTCTCTTCAAAAAATAGTGTTGGGAAAACTGGACAGATAACGTGTAAAAACCTGAAACTAGACCACTTTCTTATATCACAAACAAGAATAAACTCAAAATGGATTAAAGACTTCAATGTGAGATCTGAAACCATAAAACTAGACAAAAACATAGACAGTAAACTCTTATATTGCTCTTAGCAATATGTTTTGGCTATGTCTCCTAGGGCAAGGAAAACAAAAGAAAAAATAAACAAATGGGACTACATCAAACTAAAGTTCTTGCACAGAAAAGGAAAGCATCAACTAAATGAAAAGTCAACCTACTGAATGGGAGAAGATATTCACCAATCATACATCCCATAAGGGGTGAAATCCAAAATATATAAAGAACTCATACAACTTAACGAAAAAGCAAAAAAAAAAAAAAAAGAAAAAGAAAAAGAAAAACCACATTAAAAAATGAACAGAGGACCTAATAGACATTTCTCCAAAAATGACATACAGATGGCTCACATAAGAAAAGATGCTTAATGTCACAAATCATCAGAGAAATGCAAATTAAAACTATAATGAGATATCACCTCACACCTGTCAAAATGGCGATCATCAATAAATCAAAAAACAACTGTTGGTGAGGATGTGAAGAAAAGGGAACCCTCATGCATTGTTGATAGGACTGGAAACTGGTGCAGCCGCTATGGAAAACAGTATGGAGATTCCTTAAAAAATTAAAAATTGAACTACCATATGACCCAGCAATCCCACTTCTGGTTATTTATCTGAAGAAATCCAAAACACTAATTCGAAAAGATATATGCACCCGTATGTTCATTGCAGCATTATTTACAATAGCTAAGATATGGAAGCAACCTAAATGTCCATCAATAGACAACTAGATATAAAAGAGGTGGTACATATATACAATGGAATATTACTCAGCCATAAAAAAGAATGAAATCTTACTATTAGCGACATTGATGGACCTAGAAGGTAGTAAGCTAAGTGAAATAAGTCAAACAGAGAAAGACAAATACCATTTGATTCCTCTTATATGTGGAATCTAAAAAAAAAAAAAATGAACAAAACAGAAACAAACTTATAGAGAACAAATTGATGGTTGCGAGGTGGGAGGGGCATTGGGTAGCTAGGTGAAAAAGGTGAAGGGATTAAGAAATACAAATTGGCAGTTACAGAATAGTCACAAGGATGTGAAGTACACACAGTGAATATAGTCAATATTGTAATAACTATGTATGTTATCAGGTGGGTATCAAGAATTCTGGGAGATCACTTTGTAGGTTATATCAATGTCTAACCACTATGCTGTACACTTGAAACTAATATAACATTAAATGTAAACTGTAATTGAAAAATGTTTAAAAGTTAAAAAAAAAGATCGAGCACTGGGTTGGGGGTAGGGGAGCAGTTGATCTGGCTCTGACCCAGCTCTGCTTTGGACCATGATTCTCAGAGGCATGTCAAATAATCCCTCCCTCCAAATAAAACAATAATACTGGCCCCCTTGCAGTGACATATAAAGCTGAGATACACTGGGATGGGCAAAAAGACTTTGTAAACTATAAAATGCTCTGTACGTGACAACGATTGCTACTGTCACAAGTAGTTTTCTGAAGAATTTACCAGTTGGTTGATTTACTTCCTGCAGGGACTGGGCCTTCCAGGACTAGCATTACCCAACTCCTCCTCCTGTCCTCTGACCCCAGTCTCCTGGAGAAAGCAGAGCTGAGGAAAATGAGGAAAAACTTCACCCAAGTTTCCATCGGGACATGGGAGCAGGAAACATACTGTGTCTCCATTTCTATCGTATCTTGTAACAAAGATCTGAGGTGAATTCCAGTATAGATAACTGCTCACACACGGAGAAGAGGCCGGAAAAAGGTCCAAATATCCTTATGTCCTTTCGTTGTCAGAACGAGGAACACAAAACCACAAAATTGCACGTGCTACACCTACACCATGGAGCACGGAAATTCCCAGAAGGTGAATGAGCCAGGCATGCCCCTGCTCCTCTCACCTACCTACCTGCCCCAAATCTGCAGAGGGCCCCTGAGGCCAAGTGTTGTCATGGCAACACCCACAGAGCAGTAAAGGGCAAAACCTTGGCAGTCAGAGGCAGCCTGCAAGAATTTATGTCAGGCCACTGTTAGCGCCTGTTTCTCAGGGACTAGTTTGCTCCAGATCACTATGGTCTGTGCCCATTTTCCGTTCCCCAACTCATAGTCCCACCCAGATCACTGGCTCTTCAGAGGCTTTCACACTCTTGGGCATATGGTAAACTGAGGCCCAGAGTGTTCTGTGCTTTGCTTAAAACACCTTGGCAGGAAGAGCCAGGCCCAGATGCCAGCCATTGAACTCTGCCCTATGAGAAGCTGCTTACCAGGAGCTGGTCGCTGATCTTGAGCTTCTCCATCTGGATCTCCCGCAGAGGTCTCTTGAGCAGGGCCTTGGTCATGGCATTCTGGGCCGTCATGCGCGTGGCTGTGTTCAGGTCCTTCACAGTCATCACTGACAGTACTGGGTCCCAGATGCGGAACTGAACATCAGCCCCCACGGACAGCACAGCCCCATCCTTAGAGGCCAACTGTTAGGGGAGGCCATGAAAGAGGAAATACTCAAGGCACTGGGGCTGCAGGGAGGTCAAGCCCACTGAGACAACCCAGCTTGATCCACCTGTCTGGTAGCTAGTGCTTCATGGACAAAATGGTGTCCACAAGTACACGGGGCTAGATATACGGAGCAAGGATGTCCTCCCAGCCTCCGGTCTTGATTTTCTGGTCTCTTCTCCCCTCCCCTCCCCCTGCCCCTGAGGGCTACTCTCAGGCCAAGGTACTGGCACCCAGAATACCCTCCGTACAAACCCCCACTCCCTCTGTCCAGGGGAAATGAGAAGCCCCTCACCTTGCAGGGAGGGACATTGAAGGCTCGTGTCCTCAGATCCACCCTCTGAAAGGAGTCAATGAAGGGCAGGAGCAGAACCATGCCAGGTCCCTGAGGGGTGCGGATCCGGCCCAGTCGAAACACGATCATCCGCTCATAGGTGGGCACGATCTGTCCACAATGGCAAGAGTGGTGAGCCCAGGTTGGCAATGATGTCTGCCCATGGCCCTCCCTCACCTCTCTTCTCCTCACCCTGGACAGTGTCAGGTATCCTTAACACCGTTTTTAGATGAGAAAACCAAGGCTCTGAGGGGTTAAGTGACTTGCTCAAAAATCACACAGCCCGTAAGTGAAACAGGCAAGATCTGGATACAGCTCTGAATGACTCCAGAAGCTATGTTCTCAACTACCATACGGTATTACTCAATCCTCAGAGGAATGTTTCATTTCTGTGGTCTGATGCTAGCTAGATGTGACTCAAACTTGGAAACTTTCTGCCCTTAGATAAGTTAGGAGCAAAGGCTGGACTGCTCTACCAACAACCACAAGCAAAGGGCTTCATCGACTTCAGGTCCTTAGAGTCTCCACAGAAGCAAATACGTCCAAACTGAGAAATGAAGGCCCAGAAAGGTGAAGTGATTTACCCAAGGTCACACAATACTTGTTTCAGTGACAGTTTTAGGACTAGGATTTGGGACCTTCTAAGGACTCCCTTCCAGACCACACCAAACCCAAAGGCTTTCCAGAAAAGCTGACTATGGTCTAGGGCCACACAAAGGGCAGGGCATGTCTGGGCTTACACCTTCACTGCAGCTTTCAGGTGTGATCCTCGACTATAGTTCGTCCTTTTCCCATCTTTACGATGGGAAACGAAGCTTGAATACCTATCACTCATAACCTGCTGGGGCAACTTGAGTGTTTTTCATTTCCAATTTAGCCTAACCCAAAGGGAAGAAAATTTGGCGATAAAATGTGTGCACCTCAAGGCCAGTGTCCAGACACCAGGACTTGGGAGTTTGGCTTCCAGCATGACTAGACAAGTCTGAGCCTCACTTTCCTCATCTGAAAGATGAGAATGAACAATCCTTGCCCCACTCATTTAACAGAAGTGTGGTATTATACCATTTAAGGAAAGGGGGCAGAGGATGGGGAATTCGTCCATCATCAATCAATGCCAAAGCTCTCAGTGTGGTCCAAACCACCCTGGAGTTGATCCAGTCAGCTTTACCTTCAGGGCAAACCAGCCAGAAATGGGGAAGGTGATCAGCAGCAGCATGAACCCCAGGAAACTGATGAGGCCATGGCAAAGGTAGGAGGGCCAGGTCTGAGGCACACCTGGTAACAAGAGAACTGAGGCAGTCAAGGGATGCCCACTGGGTCTGGCAGGACAGCTGCAGACAGTGTGAATGTGGTCAAATGTGCCTTGTGCCCACCTCTCCAGTAAGCGGCTCCTTCCTTCTCAGGAATCTCAATCTGCCCCTTTGCTTAATACTCCCATATCTTTGGGCGGTGTTAATTAAAAACTGTTCCCTCCTCCCACAAATCAAAACTAATGTATCTCATGTCCCACCCTCATACGACTACTCTCTGCTGGACAACAGCCATCAGATGTGAGCAGCCAAATCATGGGATGCTCTCCTCATTGGACTGAAAGGGAGTCAACCTTCTTGTCTAATTTATAGTGCCTTCCCATACTTGGCACAGAGCCAGGAGCACGTGGGCATCTTTGTGCTAAGCTGAATTGAATGCTGTTGGCATAACACATCCCTTCTCTACCATCAGTCTGAGAAGTGTGCTTTCAAGGTGACCTTTTGCAGATAATGCTTTAGCCTAAAGAGATGAATTAATGGTTCACCAATAGGAGCCATAGGTGAGGGCTAAGATGTTTTTCCTAGCTCACAATTCACTACATTTTAATGCCCTAAGGACCATCAAATGCATGCTTCACTTAAAGAGCTTCAGGTGGGAGGTAAGGGAGGAGGGAACTAGGAAGATGAGGCTCATCTATGCCAGAGGTCCTGGCCCCTGGAGAGCCAGGAGCCCAGGATAGGAGTGAAGCTGGGACAGCCTCAGAATCTGGGATGAGGTCGTCTCTGCTCTCCTCCCCTCTCAACCCTGGACAGGAAGCAGACAGGAGCCTCTGCTCCATCCTCCCTCTCCGGAGTCCCAGGATACTAAGTCTCCTTTCCCGCCTGGCTCGAATCCACGTGGCCCCTGCAGGAAAGGACCTTTGGATGGGGAAGCTGTCATTACAGGAGGGTCAGGAAGGAACCAAATCCTCCAAGATTTGGTGCGAGGCTGAGGAATGGGGGATTTGGAATGTGTGACTCAAGGCTTTGGAAGAAGACAGGGCCAGAGCAGACACATAGGCAGCCGGGGGGCCTTTTTGGCTTGTGCATCTCCATCAGCAAAAGGGAAGGTGTGCAAGCTCAGGGCGGCTAGAGGTGCCCTGGGGGTGAAGATTCTGTCACTTTTCTGCAGCCAAGTGCCCCTTGGCGTGTTGATGACCTTCTACGCCTAGACTTTGGTTTCTTTCTAGTCAAAATGGGAACTTGAAACCTCTGCCCTGGCCCAAAGGGCTGATAGGAGCCGAGGAATTGAGAGTTGGGGCGAAGTTTCTTAGAAGATGAGAAGATGAGAAGATGTCTGGGGCTGCAGCCCCACAGAACTGCAGATCAACGCTAGTATCCCAGCGCCCGGTCCCGGCCTCTCTTCACATCGTGTCCCTTCTCTCGGTCCCTCTTCTTAGGATGCTAGGGCGCGAGATCGGCAGACTTCTAGAGGCAGAGGTCGGGCCTGGAGATGCGGTCGTTTCCCCACCCCATCCTCCAGGTCTGCTGTGTTGGGCGGCTACTCACCAGCCCCTGTCCCCACGCCTCCCCGTTCCGGAAACAAGCAGCCTTTCTGCGAGCCTAGGAATCCGAAGTTCGACTGCTGGAAACGGTCAAAGTCCCCCAAGGGCAGCGCCCGGTACCCAGACCTGCCGAGCATGGTTCTTGGCAGAGGGTACACCTTCGAGGGTACACCTTTGCCTGTGCGTTGCCGGGTTAGACTGGCCGGGACCTACACCGCCCCGCCCTTACCGGCCGCCGCTTCCTGTTTCCCCAGCTCCCGCCGTCGCACAGCGCCCCCTGCGCTAGGAGGACCGATCTGCGGCCACAAGGCGAGAACGAAGGGAGGCCTGAGTTCTTGGGAGCCTAAAGGCCATCCTCCTGCATGCTCCCTTTCGGCTTTAGAAAGGGAGCAAGAGGAGTAGTTGGCTTCCTCAGGAGCCAAATCCTCTCCAGAATCAAGGAAATGGTACAAGCTTTCTCAGCACTCCCTCTCCAAGCTCGACTGGGGGTATGTGTATTGGGAGGGGAGGGGGTGCTTATCTAGAATTATAATTTCTCCAGGGCATAGTCAGCAAAATTTTCCACTTTGTGTCCCCACAGCCCAGCAAGCAAGGACAGGCACAGAGTGGATGGGTCTCAGTATTTCTTAATTGATTAGGTTACTGTGGTCAAGGTGGGGCAAGAGGGTCTGAACTTTGGCACAAAAAAGAGCAATTTCGTGTGCAGACTTCAGGGAACACGACAGAGTAAGGAATGAGGAGTTAGCACAGAGCTATCACAGGGCAGGCCCTCCAAGCATCATAGAGGTGAGATAGATCCTCAGCCCTGCAGGTCCAGAATAGCACACTCTTCGATCCAGGTTCTCAGAGGTAATTTGCCTCTCCATGGCTTGAGAAAACCCAAATTCAAATAGTGAATTTACTTTGAGAAGCATTAACTTGCAATAGGACATTGAGGGAGGCTGTCTTCCAAAACAAGCAAATAAATTAATAAAGCTTTCCTCGTCTCAGCCACATGCCAGTCTGCCTCCTCATGCCCCTCATCCCCTCAAGCCCCAAGCCATAGCCCAGTTCCAGATCTTCTGCAAATGGCTGCTCACCTTCTTTGCCTTTTCCTAGTTTGATGGCCTGATTCCAAAGTCCTAAAGGTAGTGATCAGGTTGGAGGATTAGGCAAGCTCCCAAGGCCTTACATAGTCCCTAGGAACTTGGGTCACCCCCATTTCCCCTCCACACACACACACCTCCAGATTATAAGCTTTTACAAGAGCAAGGCCTTGTTACCATCTCTTCTAGTCTGTTCCAAGCTGGAGCTGAGCACAGAATGGGTACACAGGGATAAGTTCAGTGGTTGGGATGGTTTGAAGTTTGGAGCCAGGGACACTGGCCCATTGAGGCCACCTAGAACTTTGCTTTCTCTCCACAGTAGCTGGGAGTCTTGCATGTTTCTCTGCTGTCAAAGAGCTAACTTGCTCTTTCCTCTTCATACCCACTCGCCAGCTCTCCCCCACTGTCTCAGACTTTCTTTCCAACTGTCACCCAAGGCATCATCCTATTCCCCTCACCTCCACTCAGTGCCCTCTCAGTGTTTCTGACTCAGGTTCCTACTTGCATCCCACAGCCAGTGTCTTAGACCAGGCCACCTGCTCCTAGGTTGTCAGAGTGGCCTTTCCAGCATGCACAATGGATCACAGTTATTCCTGGTTTCTAAACAAAATGTGTCCACCTCCTTAGCTACGATCTTGCCCCAGCCTACTCCCGGGCAGACATAGCTCATGGGCCCCCTCTTAAATCAGAAAATAACCAAAACTACTTTCTAAACAGACTCTCGTGTTTCAACCCTCTATGCCTTTGCACATGCTGTTCTCTCTGTTTAAAGTACCTAATCTCTGAATCTCTGGTGAATTCCCACCATTCCAATTCCCAGCGGAGGGATTTCTTTTCTAGCCAGTCTCAATACAATGTGAAAATCTCTGTTTGGGGGCCTGCTCTTCTACTAGATCTGAGGTTCTTTCAAAGCAGGCCTGGCTCACTTCTGTGCTCTCAGCTTCCAGATGCGGTGCGGTACAAAGCTGTGTCACTATGAGCTGATGAATGGTTCAAAGCCGAGGGCAGGGGCTGCCCCCTTCCCCTCCCCCAGGTTAACTCTGCCACCATCCCAATACCCCCAGGCCAGCTGTGCGTCTACTCTTATCCCTCTCCTTTCTCACCCGCTTGGCCCTCAGGCTCAGCCTCTCCGCCCCCTAGATCCGCCCCCAGCCTCTGTCTCACTTCCTCCGGGAGGCTGGCCCTGAGCGGGCACCACCCCTCTCGGACAGCTCCGAAGACTCAGCCCTCTAACGCACAATTCTCGTTCGACCTCTCCTCCCCGCCCCACAGATCAAAACCGAAAATCGAAACTGCGCTGGGGTTCATGCAGCAGGAGCCTGCACCCGCCGGATCCTTGGAGCCCAAGCAGGACTCCGCACTGCCCCACACGCCCACCATGCCTCACCCAGAGTCGCTCTCCGAAGACCACCAGCCCAGCCCTGGACACAGTCTCACCGAGGTACGACTGGGTTTGGGCAGATGGGGTTTAGGCTTTGTCGATTTGCTGTGGTGGAGAGAGAGGTGAGAAGGGAGAGGGAACTTGGCCAAGTACGCATAGGGAAGACCAGACCTCCTAGGACCCTGACCCTATTTGCTCCAGTAGGTGAATGAGAGAGTAGAATAGGGACCAGGGTGAGTTAGGGGAGCCTCTCTGGGCTGCGATTCTCCACTCCAGTGGCACCTAGGACCGGAATCTCCCACCCACGCCCAGGCGACTTGCCTCTTTGCCCTGTTCTAACGGAGGCCCACAGATTAGGGAGAGTGGAGGTAGAAGTAGCCCTACTGCCCCCTTCTGGAGTCAGGGACATGCCCCACGTGTGGAAAAAAAAAATAAAACCCAAGTCCCAGACCAGAATGGGAAACTGGCCTGGATTAGAGAGGTGTATCAGTTAAGGCCTCACAGCTCCTGCCGTTTCTCCTCTAGGAAGCCTTCCGGATACTTCTCTTGGAACACCCTCCCCGCCCAACCCCCATCACCAAGGAGCTTTATTAGGTTTTCCTCCTGGAAACTTTGCCTTAATCTTCTGGACAAGCCCCCAGCCTCCCACCCTCAAAGGAACTACTTAGATCACTTGCTCTGTGTTCTCCCCCGCCCTTTTGAAAGCACAAATAACACCAGATTGCAGTAATTTGCATTATTTGTATAACTACAACAAATACTACTTGTTAACGTTTATGAGCACTTTTCACGTGCCAGGTACTGTGTTAAACACTTTTTTTGCATTTTAACATTGTGGTAAACTATACACAACAAAAGACCTACCATTTAACAATTTGTAAGTGTATGGTTCAGTGGCATTAAGTATATTAACAATGTTTTGTAACCCTCACCATGATCTATTTCTGGAAATACTTTTTATCACTGCAAACAGAAACTCTGTACCCTTTAAGCAATAGCTCCTTATTCTTCCCTTTCTCAGTTCCTGGTAATCGCTAATCTACTTTCTATCTCTGTGAATTTGTGTACTCTAGCTATTTCATATGAGTGGAATCATACAATATTTGTCCTTTCGCATCTGTATTAACTGAGTTTATTTAGCATAAGTTTCATTATGACCTCAAGTTTCATTCATATTGTAGCACATATCAGAATGTCCTTCCATTTTAAGGCTGAATAATATTTCATTGTATGTATATACCACATTTTGTTTACCCATTCGTCTGCTGATGGACGCTTTGGTTTTTGGGTCAGTGTTTTCAGTTCTTTTGGGTATGTATCTAGGAGTGAAATTGATGGATCATATGGTAGTTCTATGTTTAACTTTTTGAAGAACCACCAAACTGTGTTAAGCCCTTTACATGAGGTTGATAATGTATCAACTGAGTTCTAACCCGAGTTCCCTGAAGGCAGGGATGTATCCTATATATTCTTTTATCTCAGGACTTGGTACCGAGTCTGATGGGAAGTAGATGCTGGAATAAATTGTGGGATGAGAGGAGGGAGGCTTGAGTAAATTGGAAATTGGCGTACTGATAAGCCCGGGTTTTGCATCATCCAATGACTGCCTAGAATGGAATATGAAGTTCCATTCCAGCTGCCAGCCGTTGGGCGGGTGTCGGGTTGTTGGGGATTCCTGGGACTTCAGAGCTCAATTCCTCCCCACCCCCACCCCGTCTCCCAGCAGGCCACCGAGGAGGAGTTCCAGTTCCTGTGCTGCCAGGGCTGCAAGGCAGAAGCCAAGTGCCCTAAGCTGCTGCCTTGTCTGCACACGCTGTGTTCAGGATGCCTGGAGGCGCAGAGCACGCAATGCCCTATTTGCCAGGCGCCCTGGCCCCAAGGCGCTGATGCGCCGGCCCTGGATAACATCTTCTTCCAGAGTCTGCAGCAGCGCCTGTCGGTGTACCGGCAGATCGTTGACCCAGGGGCGACTTGCACCCGCTGCAAAGAGCCGGCCGACTTCTGGTGCTTCGAATGCGAGCAGCTCATCTGCTCAAAGTGCTTCGAGGCCCACCAGTGGTTCGTCAAGCATGAAGTCCGGCCCCTGACAGAGCTCCGCGGTCAGTCTGTGCGCGAGTTCCTGGACGGCAAGCGCAAGTCCAACAACATCTTCTGCTCCAACCCCAACCACCGCAGCCCTACCCTGACTAGGTGAGCCAGAGGGCTGGTAGGGGTGGGTGGGGTGGCGCATTTAAGAGCCAGGTAGAAGGTGCGGGGAGCAGAAAACCAAAGAATCACAAAGCTGAGAACGTGGGACAAGGATCTTCTAGAGCCTTGCAACTCAAAATGTGGTCCGCGGACCGGCAGCATCTGTGGCGATGACCACAATTTACGCTGTCCCAACGAGTGAGTTGTAAGAGTTCCCGATTTCCCCCTATAGTAGATAATGCTGCAGAATCATCTTTGCACCCTATTCAATAATTCATTTAGGATACATTTTTAGAAATCCCATTGCTGGTTTAAGGGATATGAAATTTTTACATTTTGATACATGTTTTCCAAACTGCCCTTCAGAAAGCCTTGTAGTGGAATTTTCCGTAAGTGCTGCAATGGGATCTCGGTATAGCTAGCTGGATTCTAGGATGAGATGCTGGTAGTTTCTGTCTGGAAAGTCAAAACTGTAACACCTTGTTATCTGGGAATGTATACGTGGAAAAAAAACAATCAACTGCAGATATCATTACTTTTATTAAACAACACAAGATTTTAATTCATTTTAAAATAAATAATACATTTATATAGTTCAAAATATTAGAACCAAATTTATAAAGAGAGGGCAAGTCTCCATTCCTCTCTAGTCATGTGCCTAATTCCTACCACTTCTCTTTCCCCCATCCAGATAACCATTGTCACTAGTTTTGAATGTTACCAGAACTTCTTTGTGAATTTATACACAGATAGGAATATGTAGTCTTTTGAAGTCTTATTTTTACCCCTTTTAGCCAAAAAAGTAGCATACCTATGTGAACTTTGGGACCCTCCCCCGCAAAGATTGCTTGTTTAAGAATCTTTTGGTACTTGTTCTTGTGGATCTGCTTGCAAAGTGAAGATATTGTTTGCCTGTTGGGGACACCCAGAACTGCATTTCTGCTAAACTAAGTGTAGCTTGCTTCCTGCTTGGAGATTTACCACCTGCACTACTGAATGCATTTCCCCCAGATTCTTCAACTGCAAATATTATCATTTGAATTTGGATTTCTTTGCTTATTTTTAAGGTTGAGCAGCTTTTCATATGTTTTTTTACCACTTTTTCTTCATGTGCGAATTGCTTGTTTATGTCCTTTACCTTCCCCCCATTCTTCCTTCTTTAATTATAAGAGACTAACTTACAGTGCAAACACAATACCTCTTTTAACATTATGTTTAAGTTTTTAGTTTTATGTAATCTAATCTATCAATCTCTTCCCTTATGGTGTCTGACTTTGATCATCCTAAGAAAGAATTTTTCCTGTGCCAATGTTAAAAATATTTTCTTATATTCTATTTTAGTAATTTCATGGTTTTGTTTTTATAATTAAATCTTTAATTCTAATGGCATTTATTTTTGTTTGTGGTATATGAAAGGTAGAAACCTTTGCTTTATTTTTCTCCCCAAATGGAAAGTCAGTTCTCTCAACTTTTATTTGGTCTACTCTTGCCTTGAGCTGAAATGCCCTTTTTATCATGTACTAAATGCCCGAGTAGTCATGGGTATGTTTGTAAATCTCTGTTCTGTGCCAATGATCTGGCTATTACTCTGCTAATTCTTAACTGCTATTAGGAGTTCTGTAGCTTTATATTTGATTGGACAAGTTCCCATTCTTCAAAAATAATTTTGCTTTTCTTGTGCATTTACAGTTGATGTAGTTTCAGAACTTACATATTCATTGGGATTTTGATTGAAATTGCAAAATTTGGGGGAGAATTGGCTTCATCTCTGGTTATAGCTTTTGGATTTTAAAGTTTTATTTATATACATCTTGAACTTTAGTTAAATTTAGAATACTTAATAATATTGTGAATGGGATTTTTTCCATTATAATTTTTAATTATCATTAGCATTCACTAATGCTCTTAATTTATGTACATTAATTATATCTAATCATCTTATTGAACGCTTTTATTCTAGTAAGTTTTCTAATTGATTCTTTTGGATTTTCTAGATAAATAATCATACCATCTGCAAATAATAAAAACATTTTTCTTTATAATATTTATACACATTACTCTTTGTGGCTTTGTTTCATAGGCCAGACCAGTATTGAATAATAGTGGTTAGAAAAAGCAACTTTATCTTGTTCTGTCTTTCATGAAAAAGTTTCTTAGGATTTCTTGTTTAGTATGATGTATATTATTAACTTCCTTAGGTAACTTTAAAAATCACATTAGGAAAGTTGCCTCCCATTTCTAGTTTACTAAGAGTTTTGTTGTGATTTTGTTTTTGTTTAGCTTTTAACAAATAAAAATATTTTTAAACACTCAGGAATGGGTGTTCTTTTGGACTCTATGAAGGTATTCTTTCACCTTTTAGTATGATGAATTATATTAATAGGTTTCTTTGTATTGAACCATTTTTTTTAATTCCCAGGAGAAAAAAAAGCTCTATTTGGTCATGATATACTATTATTTTAATTCATAACTACATTCTATTTAGTAACATTTTATTTAGGCTATTATCTGTATTTATAGATGTGATCAATTTTTATGAGTATGTGTGATTTCTTTGTCAACTTTTCTTATCCATTTTATAACACTCTTTTTCAATGAATTTGGAAGCTTTCCATTTTTGAAAATGATAATATATATAAATTATTTAGCATAGTGCCAAGCATATATTAAGTACTCAATAAATGTTAAAATCTTGCTATTCTTATCCTTTCTATGCTCTAGAACAATTTAGGGAACTAAGCAATTAAGCCTTTAGCGGTTTCTTGAAAAACTAAGAATGGTGCCTTTTTTGAAGAATAGATTTTTTTTCCATGGTATTGGTCTGGTTTGGATCTTGACTCAGATTTTCTGGAACATTTTTCCAGTTCATCCTGAGTTACCTTTCATAATTTAAACATCTCTATACCTGTAATTATATCTCCTTTTTTTATTTCTAATATTATATATTTGTGGTTATTTCAGTGATCTTTTCTAAGTACTAGCTTTTGGTCTTTCCTTATATGTCTTACTGATATTAATATTTCCTTTTTAAGTGGCTTGTAATATTTGGTTTCTATATTTGGTGTTAATTTCTACAGTCCAGTTAGTTAATATGTAGGAGTTCTATATCTGAGACTATTTTGAGGTTTTCCTTGAGGCCTAGCATATTCCTTGGAAGAATATACTTGTAGGACTTTTAAAAAATGTGCATTCTTTATAAAGTACACACACACATTTATATATATACACACCTATATATAATTATATCTCATCTATATCTCTACTCTTGTTTAAATTTTTAGCACATACTAGAACATATTTGTGTGTGTGTGCGTGTGTACATTTATCAAGAGTAGATTATTACTCTTCTTGCAGATAAGGTAGAGTGTTTAGCATACTTTTTATTTTCCCGTTTCCCTTCCCATGCCCTGATTTAGTTGAAATGACATGACATTTTAGTTCTAGATTACCAAATTTTTATGCCTTTTCTATTCTAAGCATCCTTTGTTAACAGTTATTAAGTGTCACAATCACATAACCTCCTTGTTATTCATAATCTTAGATTTTAATTGGTTTCATTGCTCATAATAATTTTTTCTATAGCATATCTTCCCCTTTCCTGAATTATTTAATGTGATTAATTTTCCATGTAGCTGGAATACCTTAAGTAATTGTTTATTTTTCAGAAAGTTTACTTTATGAGGCCATAAGTGTCTTAACTTGCATATCCTTTTGCTGTCACACACAAAGAAAAGTTTAGCTAGGTATAAAATTCTAGGGTCACAATCACTTAATCTTGGAATGTATAAACACTGCTTCCTGAATTTCTGACCTCCAGTGTTGCAGATGAGAAATTCAGTTATTATCTAATTATTTTTTCTTTGTGCATAATCAGTTTTCATTAGCTAAGGATTTTATATAATTTTTTTTTCTTGAAATGATTAATCGGGCTATATCAGATATCTTTTTTTTCAATGATCCTCCATGTCATTGTTGATCAAATCTTTCTCAGCTCAAAGATATGGTCTTAGGCTTTTTTAATGTATTGATTTCACTTTATTTGCTTTTTTTTTTTTCTTATTAGAACTATTGTTACATGGAAATTGAACTCCAAATCCATCTTTTACATGTTTTATCCTTTTTTCATTAATTCTGTTACTTCATTTTGTTATTCCGGATTCTCAGAGAGTTCCTTGAATTGATTTTCTATTCACCAACTCTTTTTTTCCCCCTCAGGAGACTCCTTTCTACTGTTTACTACCTATGATAAGTTTTGTTTTGTTTTGTTTTTCTCAGCAATCATGTTTTTCTATTGCCAGAAAAAGGTTCATGGTCTCAGGATGCTTTTTCTTGTCAGCCTGTTCTCGTTTTCTCTATGGATGTACATCTCCCTGAAAAACAAACTTAGGATTTTTAGAAGTTTTATGTTTCCTATATTACTCTTATTTTAGTGTGAACTGAGAGTCAGTTTGGATGCCATTTTTGCTGCTGATTCTCTTTATAGGCCCTCTTGTTCTGTGTCCTCTGCTCACATTTAAATGCTGACATCTAGGTTGTATAGTTTTAGTCGTTGATGATGGGCTTTTAGCAGTTGTGTAAACCAGTTTCCACCTCCTACCCCTGCAGTGACGTTGGGGCTGCTCCCCCAGATGGTAGTAGCTTACAAGTGGTCCCACCTGCAGTTTGGGGGTCAGGGATGGATTTCTCTCCAGGTGCAATGGGCAAGGCTGCTCCAGCCAGCGAGAGGGCAGGATTCCAGTCAAGAAAGCATGACAAATGGCTTAAAAAAACTTGACCTTATTGTTTAAAAATCATACACACACTCACAATTCACATCATTTTATAATTTACCAGTGGTTCCTGAAAAAACTCAACTTGTTTTTTCTGTACAAAACTTTAATGTCATAAATAACCTATACCTTTCTTCAATAGTAAACCACTCTATCCTTTGACATTGATCTGCTTTAGGACACATGTTGAAGAGCAGTACCAGAGGTGGCTTTACACTTAGAACCTAGCCTGTG